ATCATGTTATACCAATTCCATGCATTCTTCGTATCATATAAAATCATATCAGATTAATTACAGTAAATACATACATACACATAATTCATCATTAACAGTTTATCATGTAATCACATACTTTAACCTTTTCAATCAAACACTATACACACACAACATCATATCATTTCTATAACATTTATCATACCACTAACATATATTTGTTCATATCTCTGGATTAGCCCATGTACATATGTGAGAACTATCGATATGTGAGTCTATAGAGGTTGTGCACTAATGCTGTCACCACAGCTCGTATAATAATGTTCATAAGGACCACATATTATTCCTTAAGAATCATATACATATACTAGGGATCAAGTATGTGTCTTTCAAGACTTCACACATGTTCCACAGAATATATATATATCCCGAAAGACCGCGTAGAATTGCACCGTAGTGCCATATAATAATGTCCATAAGGACCACATATTATTCCTTAAGAATCATATACATATACTAGGGATCAAGTATGTGTCTTTCCAGACTTCACACATGTTCCAAAGAATATACATATGTCCCGAAGGACCGCGTAGACCCTCGACTCTTGGCATGCCAACTATACCCCTAGCTCTCAAGACACATAACATGGGCATTTTCTTTTATACTTATCATTTCACATAACACATAGTTCAATTACTCATAGAACATTTTCATATGAGTCACATTTACATGTCACATAGCTTATATACTTTCTCACGTAGTTACATAGATCCATATCATATAACATATATCACAAAGTGCACATAATCACACATATCATATCATATAGCTTAGATCATTTCTCAGATATTCATATAAACATACATATCATATCTTGTTCACCTATGATCATATATGCTTCATATAACAGATAGAAACACCTAGAACACTTTCTCATAGCTTATATCAATTTTCAGAGTCCTTTCATATTACCTGATGACATATATCATATAGATATATAATAACGGATATCATATTATCTACCTTATGCTCTATTCCTTTGTATTCCCTTAGATTATGAATTATGTCGTATTTCTAAACATATATCATTTAATAGTATTTTTATTTAGGTACTAATTTAATCTCTTTACTTAATTCAATTTCATATATTCATTATAATCTTTTCATATAGTTCCATTATACTAATTCTCATAATAAATCATACCACTAGGTACTTGTCCAACTCATGTTTCCATTATGCATATATTGTTACCCATGTTTACCTAGTTCATATCACTTCTTATAAACTCACTTTCATCATATTTTCCTATTATTACATATTTTATCTCATAACCATGTATCCACATAGTCTTATATTTCATTATCATATTACATATATTGGTTCTCCTATGACCCTTAATAAACATTTATTTCTATTTCACTACATCTCTCGACTTATCTTCTATATTCCTATAATTTCATAACTTATTTTATATCATTTTCCCTTTTTAGTCACATAAACCATCTATTTATTTAGTTCAATTTCTCATGACTTCCACAATACTCTTTAATAAAACTTTGTAGCTTTTCACTTTAATACATAAACCATAGTTTCCTTTAATTTATCAATCTTCTCTATATAACTTATGTATCCTTATTTATGCCCTCGAATTCATACTATTCTCTTAGAGTCTCCTAACATTTCTCGTATAATCGCTTATACCATATAATATGACTTATACTTGATTATCTTATTCTCTCATGTTCATTTCATCTCTTATGACTCTATCATATAACTTATTCCATGTTCTTCCATTATTACATAATAAAGTCTTACATAAATCATATAGCATATACAAATCATATCATTATCTTTAGTCATGCATACATACAATCAATGTAATACATATAATCACATATAGTTATAACCAACACATAATCATGTCTATGACTTCATGCATATTACTCTAGAAATAGACTCATCGCAAGTCTTATTTCCATTAAACGCTACATGTCACTAGTATGCACTCACCTGGCCTCACTAGTCAATTTCAATCTATTATCTTTCCCTTGATCGATCTTACTTGCCAAATGTTCCGGAATTGCTTTACGCGCAGAATCTACATAAATGTACATTTTAAGGCAATCATTAGATACCTACACCTTGTAATTAGATACTAGCAACTTAAACGAACTTATTAAACCAATATTCACATTTTTCCTTTAGGGGGGAATCGGTTCCCTACTAAGGGGGTATCGATTCCCTCATGACATTCTGGAAATTTTTGTTCGTTTGAAGGGGTATCGGTTCCCCCTTGAATGGGTACCGATTCCCCTTACCTAGAAATCATATTTTTAACTCGAAAATTACTTCATTTCATCTCAAACACTTCATATATCATCCCCTTTTCATTCTTAACTCTAGTACACATACTTAAACCAATCTATATTCATTTATTTCCTCTTAAACCTCAAAATCCTATCTTCCATATGAGATTCAAGAATCATACCAAATTTTCAATGTGTTCTAATTCCAATTCTAACACTTCATACTTCTTAATTAGATTGATGACAAGTCAAATTCATCCATAAAACTTCAATAACCATACCATATCAAAATTTCATCTTAAAACTCATATTCGAAATTCCTTCATAATTCCTTTATCTTCTTGTTTAAATCCCATATAAGCTTTCCTTAAGCTTATTTAATACCCAAAGAATCAAAACTAAGCTTAAAACTCAAGAATTAACCAACCAAAATTAAACTTACCTTTGTCATGGAGCATACGGGAAGAGAGGAGGAAGGAAATGACCCAGCTCCAGAACTTTCTTTTCTTCTCACCCTTCCCACGTTTATATCACCTTTATAAAGAAAGATAAAAAATCTTTCTAGTCAAATGACCATTTAACCCTTAATTTCCTTTAATAATTACTAATTAACCTTCATCATATATCCAATAATCATTGAACTATTTCATTCTTATACTTTAGTCACCAAATTCTGAAACTTTACAATTTGGTCACTAACCCGGTATTGCGGATGTTACATTTTGCAAGCCTGAAGATGCCGTTTTGTCCTTCCTTGGTGTCTAATCTCTTGTACATTTCCTCGTATGCCTTATCATTTGCTTTAGCCACCATTTTCTTGGCTTCCCGCTTTGCCTCCTTGTATATTTGTTTAGCTCTCGACCTTTCTTCGTCGTCATTGCATTGTAGAAACTCCTTGAAGCAAGTTTGCTTTGTCTTCACCTTAGTTTGGACTTCGTCGTACCACCACCACGATTCATAAGGACTGTGGTGTTTCTGATTTAATAAAACTCTTTCTTGATTTTAGAAAAAGATAGAATTCCAGATGAAGTTGAAAAAGATATATTAAAATAAAATAAAAGAAAAGAAAAATAATATAATAATAAATATTAATAGTAATAAATATAAAAAGGGGATTTTTTAAAAAAGTTGTGGTTAAAAAATAAGAATTAAATAAACAAATTAAAGTGATTAAGATAAAGAGAAACTTATTGTGAAATCAGCCTCAGACTTCAGCTTCGCCTCAAATTCCTCGGATCATCGAAACAAATTTTTACTTCAAGATTCACGTAAGCTTACAAGAACAATTCTTCGCTGCCAACTCGGATTGTGTCGTTTCAACAACAATTGATTCCGATCTCAGTTTCCTCTTAGCAAACAATTTTGCTAAGTGTGTTCTTTGAAAGTTGAATATGCTTCAATAAGAAAAACCTTCTTCAAACATTAACCATAACAATATCCGGACCAATGTCGAAATAGTTTTGATTTGAAAAGTAAGCTTCAGAAAACAGAGATAAAATCCGAAGCGATTTAAGTACATTACAATTCTCACGTTTGGAATTGAGCCTTCGCTTTAGTCTTCGGCTTGAAAGAAAATTAGTTAAACATAACCAAAGTCATACTTAGCATAATAGAAAAGTATGTGAAAAATAGAGATAAAGCTAGAGAGAAAAAGAAGATTTTATTCTCAAATGAGAGATATGTTCTTAGGCTCACCCTTAGAGGGTATTAATAGCCTTCAAAATCCTAAAAACAAGCTAAAACATCTTAAATCCTAATTAAAACACTTAAAACTATTTAAACTAAAATACCTAAAAAAATAATATAATATTCTAAATCCTAATTAAAATACTAAAACCTATTTAAACTAAAATACAAAGATAAAGATAAAATATAAAAATAATATCCTAAAACTTAATTAAAATACTAAAAACCTATTTAAACTAAAATACAAAGATAAAATATAATGTTTAAAATATTATCCTAAATTTTAGTTTAATCCAAATCTGAATTCCAGCCAGCTTTGATTCCAAAAATAAAAAATCTGCAGAATTGTGTCCTTTTTGTGCAATTTCCATAATCTTACGTCCTATACAGAAAATGAATTAAAATGAACAAATAAGCCACAAAAATCAATGATTAAAGAGTAATTTAAAAGTAAAATATTAAGTAAATTAAGCACTTATCAGAACTATTATCATCAAAAGAATTGGGCACTAAACCAACTAATAAGAAGTTCAAGATAAGATAATGCAGAATCACTACCAACCAAACAGAACCGAAATTTTCTTTTAAGTGAGAGAAATACATATTTAAATTAATCTGTCTAAATTCCATACCACTTAAAGCAACATGTAGCATCAGCAGTATCTATCACATTTTAAGAGATCTAATAAAAAAAAGAACAAACCTTCATTTGACCAGATTCCAATCAACAAAATGCTAAGATAAAACCACCAAATCACATCTTAATCAACCAAAAAACTAACATAGATCTAATATACAAGTTCAAAACTCATAAAATATGATTAAAAAAAGGAAAGAAACTTGAATTTCTAAATGCACTGAGCTTGACTCATGGTTCGAGTTAACTTTTCAAGATTCAAAATCGTTTTTCCTTTTTAGTTCTCGGCTTCATTTCCTTTTTCCTTTCATTTTATGACTGTGATATTTTGGAATATTAGGGGATTCAACCATTCCAAAAATAAAAGAGTGTTATGTCTCGTATAGAGAAAATGCATGCTGAGATTATTTGTTTGCTTGAAACTCGAGTCAAAGAGATTAAGGCTCAAAATGTTATGACTCAGTTTGTGGAAGAGTGGAGTTACTGCTGGAATTACAGTTGCTTAGATAATGGTAGGATCTGGGTCCTGTGGAGGAAGAATTTACAATGTTCAGTTCTGAAAGTGGAAGATCATTTTATTTCTACTCAGGGTTACTTGGTTGGTAGAAGTGTTGTTGTATCTACGGTGTATGGTAGCAATAATGGTGTTTCAAGGAATGGGCTATGGAATAAACTCTCTAATGTTAGTTCTTTGGTTGGTAGTAATATTTGGTTGGTTGGGGGAGATTTGAACATTACTGCTGAAGCTATGGAGAGCTCAAAGTATGAGGATGGGCACCTCACATCAGAAATGGAGGACTTGAGGAACTGTATGACATATTTGGGTCTAGTTGATCACCCTTTTTTGGGCATGTGTTTACTTGGCCTAATATACATGAAGAGAGCTTCATTGCCAGAAAATTGGATAGAGTTATGGTTAATGATCAATGGTGTGAGGAATTTCCAAACTGTCATGTGGAGTTTCAAGCCCCTGGAGTTTTTGATCATTGCATGGCAGTTGCTTGGTGCACTCATGAGAGCCTTGCTTTTAGGCCAAAGCCCTTTAAATTTTTAACTTTTGGGCATTGCATCATGAATTTAAGGAGGTGGTTGGGCAGTCTTGGGCTGAGGATGTGCAGGGGGACCCTATGCAAGTCCTGTTTTATAAATTGAAGAGACTTAATCATGTGCTGAAAGCTTTCAATAAAAGATGCTTTGCTAATATAACTGAGAAAGTGGCTGAAAAAAGGATTCAATTGGAGAAACAACAGCTATTGAACCTCTCTGGAGAGATTCTTGGTGATGTGATGAATGAAAGGAAACTAGGCCAATAGCTTAGTGATTTAGAAAATGCTGAAAGATTATTCTACCAGCAGAAGGCTAAGGTGGACTGGTTGATTAATGAAGATCAATGCACTAAGTTTTTTCATTCTCAGGTGGCAGTTAAAAGAAAGAGAAACACAATAAGGGTCCTAGTTGATGAGGGTGGGAATAAATTGGAAACATTCGATTCCATAGCTGATGAACTTGTGAACTATTTTACAAGGCATATTGGTTCTGTTGATGATGTTGTGCAGGGGTGTACTAACAATTTGGTGGTAGATTTATTGGGGTACACCCTTCCTGCATGTGCTAATGAAGACTTAGTCAAACCTGTCACTAATGATGAAATTAAAATGGCTTTATGGAATCAAGGCAAGGATAAAGCCCTTGGCCCAGATGGATACACTGTTGGGTTCTTTCAATATGCCTGGGACATTATTAGAGTTGATTTTATTGCTGATGTGAGGTATTTTTTTGAAACTTCTAGAATTTTGCCTACTTTTAACTCTATTCCATAGCTTTAGCTCCTAAGAAGCCTAACTCTTGTAAAGCTATGGATTTTAGACCTATATCCTGCTGCTCTGTTTTTATAAGACTGTCACTAAGATACTGGTGTGTAGACTGGTTGGATACCTTCCTGAGATGATTGCTCCTAATCAGTCAGCCTTTGTGAGGGGGAGAAATATTGAAAGCAATACACTCTTGGCTCAAGAGCTTGTCAGAGGGTATGAAAGAAGTTCTATTTCTCCTAGATGTGCTATTAAAGCTGATTTACAAAAAGCCTTTGATTCTTTAAGTTGGAAGTTTTTGCTTGCTGTCTTGAAGGGGTTAGGGTTGCCAGAACAGTTTAGGGGTTGGATTGAGGCTTGTGTTATGGATTCTAGATTCTCTATTATTCTGAATGGTAGCCTTGTGGGATATTTTAGAGGGAGAAGAGGGGTTAGCCAGGGGGACCCTTTATCCCCTTACTTATTTATCATTGCTATGAACATCATGTCCAAATTGCTTGATGTTACTGCCTCAGAAAAAAAATTCAGTTTCATCCTAAGTGCAAAAGAGTGAATCTAACTCACTTGTGTTTTGCTGATGATTTACTTATTTTTTGCAAATGTAGTTTGGATTCAATTGTTGGGGTTAAATGTGTTTTGGATAGGTTTTATGTGATGTCTGGGCTTAGACTTAATGTCTCTAAGATTGAAATATACATTGTTGGTATAAATGAAAGGCAGAGGACTCTGATTCAAGAGACTACTGGATTTACTAATGGTTGTCTCCTAGTGAGATACCTGGGGGTTCCTCTTGTCCCTAGAAAACTGACTGAGAAAGACTGTACTGCCTTGGTGGAGAAAATCAAAGCTAAGTTGGGACACTGGTCCAACAGATGACTGACTTATGCTGGTATATTACAACTGGTGAAGGTTGTTTTATTTAGCATAGCTAATTTCTGGTGCAGACAACTTATCTTACCTGCTACTGTTGTATAAGGGTTGACCAACTTTGTGCCAGGTTCTTTTGGAATAAAGGTGATATCCTAGTTAAGGGTGCACCTGGGATAATGAACTGAATTGGGTTGTTAATAGGTTCAAAGGTAAAACTTTCTTTGTGTTTGTTCATAGAATTGCTTGGTGTGCTTATGTTTACTGCATAAGGATGGAGAGGAATTATAAACAGTTTAGAGGAGTGAGTAGGGATATAGATAATGTGGTGAATTGTATTAAAGAGGTAGTGAGGGTGAAGGCAGCTAGAATTGTGATTAAAAGTAGTATAGTTAATCGTAGACTTTGCCAGGCTTGGAGGATTACCTCCTCTTAGAAGGTTAATTATGTTTGGTTTGGGTGGTCTGTATTTATTGTAGCAGTGATTTTTTTCTACTGCTTCTTGGATAATAATATGAGGAATTTATCCAAAAAGAAAAAGAAATTGAGATGCAATCGAATGAAAAGAACAAATTACCTTAGTGAGATCCAACAACGAATTGATTTCCCTCTGCGTGAGATTATTCAAAAAAGAGGAAATGGGAAACGAGAAAAGCAAAGCGGAGTCTTGAGATTGACTGAAAATGGAAGTAAGATTTTGTAATTACAAAAACAACCCTTTAAATTATTAGTATTATTTCGCAATTTAGATTATGGGACCAGTAGTCTGTAGAAAAAGGTTTGGTCTAATTTTTTCCTCCAGAAAGAGCTGACATTTCATATATTTCTATTTATTTAAAGTATGGGTAAACTATGTGGATAGTTTCCTGTGTTTAGGGTCTGACCCAACTTTGGTCAATAATTTAAAAATTAAAGAGAAATGATTCCTAACGTTATTGATCCGTTCAATTTTAGTCTCTCAACCATCAATTTTTGTTAACCCTTTTATTTAAGTCTCTTTTTTTTTAAGTCCCTAACATGATTGAGGGACTAAAACCAAAAGAGAGTTAATGGTTAAGGGACTAAAACCGAATGAATCAATAATGTTAGAGATTAAAATCGAATGAATCAATAACATTAGAGACAATTCCCCTTTAATTTTTAAATTGGTGACCAAAGTTCGTTAAAATGAAAACATAGGGGACTATCTTCATAGTTTACCCTTAAAGTATTTTGTGTTTTCCATAACTAAAATATGATAAATATACTGAGCACTAAACAAAATTTGTTTATTATGCTTTCTTTTTGCATTTGCACGTTAATCATAAATTAATAGATAAAGTACAAAACATATAATTAAATTTTACTCTTAAATGATCATTTTAATTTTAAAAATTATAAAATTATTAATAAAATTATTAAATTATAATAAATTATTCATTATAATATTATAATAAAGGGTAAAGTACACAAATGGTCCCCCGACTATAGTGGACTGCTTTATTAAGTCCTTTGATTATTAAAAGTTAGAAAATGGTTCTCTGACTATAGAATGTTGTTGTGTTAAGCCTCTCGACTATTGAAAGCTACAAAATGGTCACTCGATCATTCATTATGTTTCAAAATTGTCCTTTTTGATTAAAAAATTAGTGGTTGTCTAAGTTAGGCGTTAACATGATGACTGGAATATGATAGTCGTTTAAGATTTTGGGATCAGATTTTATCATATCACAGTCAACAAGTTAACTTTCACCTTATAATACCATCAGTTTTTAATAGAAAATGACGAGTTTGGAACATAATGAATAGTCGGTGACCATTTTGTAACTTTTAGTAGTCCAGAGACTCAACAAATCAACACTTTATAGTTAGAGAATCATTTTAAAACTTTTAATAATACCTTCCTCTTAGCTATAGCTGCTGATTGGGATTTGTTATAGAGATAGTTGATTTGTGATACTTGGGTTGTGAGGTATTCTTTTTTTTTCTTTTTTTATTGTTGTCTCTTGTCTACCTATGTTGTGGTAGGGTTGGTTGTTTGTTATGTTTATACAGGTTTTTCTTAGCCTCAATTTCGATCGATCATCGAAATAAAATTTTCCCTTCATGATGTATGTCGGTTACAGTCAACAAGGTCCAACCCCTGTAGCTTCTTCTCTCCGGTTAATCGAAATTTCCAAGTCTATCTCTAAAATCTAATCTTTGTTGGTCTAGCCAAGTCTATCTCCGTTAGATCCAAAATAATTTTAAATTCTGGAAAGCCCAACTCGAGTTATAGCATCTCACCAAAAATCGAACTTTCTCTTGATTCCCCTTAACAGACCGCCGCTAAGTTTGTTCACAGAAAGTCGAATTACGACCAACCGATCCGACTTCCAAACTTCAAGCAAAACAGTCTTCAAATCAACGTGTAACTTTTGAGTTGAAGAAGTAATCATTTTTAATAGAATTATCGATTTCCACCCCCAGTTTCCAAAGAATCAAGAATACGATTTGAATGTATGAAGATCAAAATTCAATTCTCACGATTGAAATTGAGTTTCGCAAAAAACTTTGGCTAAGCAGATGTTTAGTCAAGCATGGATTTGATCATGCTTAGCATTGTAAAGAGAAAATAATGAAATAAAATAAATAAATAAAGAAATATGGATATGAAAGAAAAGTATAACTTTAATAAATAACCAAGGAAAATAAATTTCAATATGAGTTTCAACTGTTGAACCTAAGGAGTATTTATAACCCCATAGTTCTAAGCAGATAAAATAACTAATTACTAAAATAATCAAACTAGAAATTCTAATAAGAGTTCTAATAAAATAACTAATTCTTAAACAAAATAATAATAGAATAATCAAACTAAAAATCCTAAATTAAAATTGTTTATCACAAAAGATAATATTTAATTATTATGGTTGAATTATTCTTCATCTTCTAGATAACCTTGTCTCAGGTAAATTCCAAATTAAATATTCAAGGAAGTTCTGCTTGTCTTCTATAAGATATTGAATGGACTATCAAAATCTACTAGTTTATAGGCTAATTAATCCAATGAAGTTCATATCCAAAATAAACTCAAAATAAAGATAAATCAGTAATATTCAAGTGATAAATGAGTTAATAATAACAAAAATATGTAATATTAAACTCTTATCAAATTCCCCCTCACTTATTCAATGCTTGTCCTCAAGCATACATCAATTCCAATTTCCACCATTCACCAAAGATTCACTCGATAGTTTATGTAAAATCCCAAGTACATGCATGGATTAAAGAAGTTAGACAAGATAATAAAACAATGTGGTGGGATGATTTTAGTTTTGCGAGTCACAAGACTGTTATTGATTTTGAATTTTGCACCTATAACGGTTTGTGAGGTGAAAATAAGAATGAAATTCTAAATGAATATGAGCATGAAGAGAGTATTATCGCATCCATTCAAACCAATATACATCCTCATATATCATTCGTCTCGAGGAGTTTGAGTTAGTTGGGAAATGGTCTACCATCCCAAGTATAAGGGTGGGCTTGGATTGAAGAATATTTTAGTTTAGAATAAAACTTGTATGTTGTGTTGTTTATGGATTATCCTTGTCAAAGCTGGTTCGTTATATACTACTTGGATTGAAGCCTATGTTTTGCATTGGTGTTCTATTTGGCAAGTTCCATTAAAAAATTGTTATAGTTGGACAAGAAGGAATATTTTGAAGTTGCATGATGACTTTTCTCTTGTGGGGATTTTGATGGGCAATTCCAAGCTAGGAAAGTATGGATGCTCTTCAACATAAGCACGATAAAGTTTCCTAGACTTGTATTATTTGGAGAGGTTTATCAATACCCCGTCATTCTTTTATATCTTGGTTGGTAATTTTAGATTGATTGTCATCGAGGGTTCGAACACTTTGTTGGGGTGGTCATCTAGACCCTACTTGTGTTCTTTGTGATGGTAATGATGAAACAAGGGACCACTTATTTAGTGGGTATGTTTTCTCGAGGGGTGTTTGAGGTATGGTTATGCAAGATTATCAGGTTAATGGTGCTACTTCTAGTTGGGGAATATGTTTCGTCGGGTGCAAGATTGGGGTAGGGGGAAGTCCTTGAGGGCTATTGTTTTTCGGGTTAGTTGGTGTAGTCATCTTTTTTGGTTTTTTGGCAAAGTCCCACATTGGTTGTGTATAAGGAGGAGGGGAAATTCTTTTGTTATAAATAAAGACATACTCCTCCTTAGTTTTGCATCCCACAAATATAAGCATTCTTCTATATTAAAGGTTATTTGTACTCTTTCTTTCTCTTTGTAATATTTCCTCTATTAGTGAAATGTTATTTTAGTAGTGTTCGAGGAGGTAGGTATAATTTTGGCCTAACCTCGTTAAATTTTGGTGTTCTCTTTTATGTCTATTTAATAGCTATTATCGGGTATAGTTGTTGTTAATTATTGTCCTATTAAAATTACTTGTCTTGGTAGTTCTGTCTAAGGAAAGTGGGTTTTAAGAGAGACCATTGTGACCCCTTCTCTTTCCTGGAAATCTACCTTGGGGTGATTTTTAGTACAATCGTTTTCACACTAGTCACCTAGATAATAGTTTTCAAGGTGAATTTGTTATTATTGGTGGAAATTAACCTGAATTCCACAACAATTGGTATCAGAGCTCTCGGTTTATTTTAGTATGCTCTGTGGTTGCGGCTTAGGTTGATCTTCCACATCAGAAAAAAAATTCCTTGGGGTAATTGACATTCCGCATTGACAGCTATTAAATAGAATTTGTAGCAGAAATGACAGACGACACAAAAATATCCGCAAGAAATGTTAGATTTGCAGTGGAGATTGTTATGGCACCGGTCATTTCGGCATATGGCAAAGTGAGGTTCTAGATGCCCTATTTCAACAGGGTCTAGACATTGCTATTGAAGGAGAGAAACCATATGATGTTGAGGAAAAAGAATGGAAGATGATCAATAGATTGGCATGTGGTACTATTCGATCGTGTCTTTCTAGAGAGCAGAAGTATGCATTTTCTAAGGAAACTTCTGCA